GTAAATATCTATGGACTTAATATAGGAGCACCTAAATACATGAAGTATATATTAGCAGACACAAAGGGAGAAATTGACAGTAATAAAATAATAGTAGGAGACTTTATCACCCCACTTATATCAATGGATAGATCATCCAGACAGAAAATCAATAAAGAAACATTGGCCTTAAATGACACATTAACCAGATGAATTTAATAGATTTACAGAGCTTTCCATCCAAAATTGGCAGAGTGCACATTCTTTTCAAGTACACATGAAATATTCTCCAGGATATTCTCCAGGATAGATCATGTTAGGTCACAGAATATTCTCCAGGATAGATCATGTTAGATCACAAAACAAGTGTCAATAAATTTAAGAAGATTTAAATTATATCAAGTATCTTTTCCAACCACAACAGTTTGAAACTAGAAATCAATTGCAAGTCAATCAATTCAAATTTAGTAGAAGAAAGTAAATAATAAAGATAAGTGGAAATAAATGAAATATATACTTAAAAATTAGAAAAGATAAGGAAAACTATAAAAGTAGGTTATTTGAAATGATAAAATTGATAAGCCTTTAGCCAGACTTTCAAGAAAAGAAGAAAGACATTGATGAAAGAAATTGAAGGCAACAACAACAAAAAAATGGAAAGATATACCATGCTCATAGGTTGAGAGAATTAATATTGTTAAAATGTCCATACTACTGTATCTACAGTTTCAATGCAATTCCTATCAAAATACCCATGACATTTTTCACAAAGCTAGAACAAATAATCCTAAATGTGTAAGGAACCACAAAAGACCCTAAACAAAGTGATCTTGAGAACAAATAAAACTGGAAGTATCACACTCTCTGATTTCAAACTCTACTACAAAACCATAGTGATCAAAACAGTGCAATATTGGTAATTAGGACGTGTGGTACATTTTCTTGGGGGTTACTTTTTGAGTTTTCATTTACATAAAATAAATGCTCATATTTTACCTGTACATTTTGATGTCTTTTGACAACATATACATTTTCACAAATACGATCTCAATCAGGATAAGAATACTTCCCAACACCCCCAAAGTTCCTGGTGCACCCTTCCAGTCAACCCTCCCCCCAAGGCAACTACTTCACCAATTTCTATCACATTAGATTAGTTTCATCTGTTCCAGAAATTCATATACACAATAGGCAATGTTCATGTCTGACTTCCTTGCTCAACAGAATGTTGTTGTATACATCAGAAGTTCATTCCTTTTTGTTGCTGGCTAGTATTCTATTGTGTGAAAAACCCCACAATTTGTATATCTGTTCATTTGATGGACATTGGAGTTGTTTCCAGTGTAAATCCTTTATGAATAAACCTGTGATGAAAATCCTTGCCCCTCAAAGCAAACCAAACCAAAGCAAACCAAACCAAGAGTACAATGTCAGCACAAAAACAAACACATAGATCCGTGGAACCGAATAGAGTTCAGAAATAAACTCACACTTAAATGGTCAATTAGTCTTCAACAAAGTAGGCAAAAAATACAATGAGGGAAGACGGTCTCTTCAATAAATGGTGTTAGGAAGACTGGACAACTACATGCAAAATAGTGAAACTGGACTTTCTTATATCTATACAAAAATAAAGTCAAAATGTATTTAAAGACTTAAATGTAAGAATGGAAATTATAAAACTCTCAGAGGAAAACAGGAGCAAGATTTGGACATTGGTCTGAGCAATATTTTTTGGATCTGTCTGGTCATTAAAGGACAATAAAAGCAAAAATAAACAAATGGGACTATATCAAACTAAAAAAGTTTTTGCACAGTGAAGGAAAACATCAATAAAATGAAAAGGCAACCTACTGAATGATACACCTAATAAGGGGTTAATATCCAGAATATATAAAGAACTTATACAACTCAACACTAAGAACACAAATAATTCCATTAAAAATTGAGAGAGGACCTGAATAGACATTTCTCCAAAGAAGATATATAGATGACCAACAGACTCATGAAATATGCTCAACTTCACTAATCCTCAGAGAAATGAAAATCAAAACCACAATAAGATATCACCTCACACTTCTCAGAATGGCTGTTATCAAAAATAAGAAATAATGAATCCTGGTGAGGATTTGGAGAAAAGGGAACTCCATGCACTGTTGGTGGGAATGAAAAATGGGGTAACTGCTATGGAAAATAGTATGGGGGTTTCTCAAAATTTAAAAATGGAACTACCATATGATTCTGCAATTCCACTTCTGGGTATTTATCTGAAGAAAATAAAAACATTAATTTGAAAAGATATATGCTCCCCTATGTTCATTGCAGTATTATTTACAATAGCCAAAATAAGGCAGCAACCTAAACGTTCACTGATAGATATATGGGTAAGAAAATATTATTTATATATATCATGTATATATCATATATCAGCCAAAAAAAACCTATGAGATCTTGCCATTCGTGCAACATAGATGGACCTAGAGGGTACTATGCTGAGTGAATAAGTCAGAGAAAGACAAATACCTGTGATTTCACTTATATGTGGAATCTAAGAAAACAAAACAAGCAAAGAAAATTAAAAAAAAACAAACCCAAACAGAAACATACCACAAATACAGAAAACAAATTGGTGTTTTCCAGAGAGGAGGGGATGGGAGAATGAAAAAAAATAGCAGAAAAATTAAAAGGTACAAACTTCCAGTTATCAAATAAATAAGACATGGGGATACAATGTACAGCATAGAAAATATAGTTAATAACATGTAACAACTTTGTATGGTGACAGATGGTAATTAAGTTATTATGGTGATTACCTTGTAATGTATACAAATGTTGAATCACTATGTCGTACAGGTGAAACTAATATATTATTGTCAACTACACTTCAATAAAAAGAAATAATAAAAAGAAATACTATTCTCCACTAAAAGGAACTGGGACACCTTGGAGAAATGATTGAGTCTAGGGCTAAGGCAGAAAAATCAAATGAGTGTGGAACATCTTGTGTCAGAACATAAGGAGGTGTGGGCGCCTGGGTGGCTCAGATGGTTAAGCGTCTGCCTTCGGCTCAAGTCATGATCCCAGGGTCCTGGGATTGAGTCCTGCATTGGGCTCCCTGCTCAGCGGGGAGCCTGCTTCTCCCTCTGCCTCTCTGTCTCTTATGAATAAATAAAACCTATAAAAAAAAAAAAAAAAGAATATAAGGAGGTTTTCAAAGAACTATGGAGATTTGCCAAAGGGACAAAAACCAGTTTGAAGTGGCTCCCAATAGCCAAATCAGGGACAATTTGAATGTCATAAATAACAATGATAGTAATGGATTATAACCCAGTTAGTATAATTGGAAAACATGATTCAAAATTAAAATTGTGAGCCATTTGTTAGTATGCAATGAAAACAGACTAAGCAATGGTTCTGTAATAATGTTGTCAAGATGCATAACCTCAGTGTAGTTATGAGAGAACATTTTATAATTTTCAATCCTAAATTAAGGAAAAGGATTATTTTAGCAAATAATCAGCCTGTAATCATAAAACTTTTCAAGGTCATGAAATTCAAGAACAAATGTAGAAAATAGATAACTAAACAACAAACTTAGATATTGAGAACTAAATGGTTGATACTGAACTGAATCCTATTGCTATAAAGTGCCAGTATTGTGATAAAGGGGAAATTTGAATGGAATCTGAGGCTTAGATATTAGTAATGTATCACTATTTTCTGATTTTGAGGGGTCTGCTTAAGGAGAATTCATTTCTATGTAAGAATTATACATTAAAATATTTTGAGTTATTAAGATTGTTTTTGGCAATTATTCTTAACTGTTTCAGGAAACAACATTTATTCTTTGAACTATATTGTATCATTTCTCTAAGATTTATTTGGGTTGCTACAAAATTAAACAAAAGCCCATTAAGTAGTACACTTAGAAATGTACAAATATAAAATAAAAAAGAATCTTGGACTTACAGATTTTATATACTCAATGCTGATATATCTTAATTGATAGATTTTGATAAAAAGAATAAATAACCCTGATTTTTCATTAGCATAATCAGTCATCTTTTCTTCCTTCAGTTTATATAAATTCCCTAATATGTTTCATTTTCTCATAACTATTACTTCTTATTATAATGATAATAATTATGTTGACAGTAATAATGAAAATAATAAGATATATTTAAAGAGAGCTTTTTGTGTGTGAAACACTGTTAAGAGTTTTAATATATTCTAACTCATGTCATTTTAACTTCCTCTACGTGCTAGATGTCTATTATATGGAATTACAATATAAATGGACTTATTGCTTTCATTTATGACTTGCATTAGGAAAAAAGCACATGAAACTAATAATACACTATATGTTAACTAACTGGTTTTTAAATAAAAACTTAAGGGGGAAAAAAGAATTCTCCCCTCCTTCTTGGCTCTTCTGTAAGTGAAGTGTACAGAATTCATAGTATTCTTTTTTTGTTGTTGTTGGAGAACTGAATCAAACAGATTTTATTCAACTTTTTAGGATGAGGAAAACAAATGATATAAAATAAGTCATAAGAAATGCTCTCTTGTACTATTTCAAACTATTTTCAATGCTTTACAAAATGCTCACACAGCAAATACAAAAAACTTTAACATAGTCTTATAACTTTTGCTGCAATAAATGCAACATTAACAAACATACAAATTTCTTCTGTACCAATCTTAAAAGTAGAATTACTGAATTACTAATTTTTACAATGTTATTCATACTTATTTTTATTCATATGTATTTAATGAGATCACTTCCAATACATAATTTTCCTTAACTTTATTTTTACATTAAGCCCGGTAGCCATCAAAAACCTTCCAGTAAGTTACACAGGTTTGTAGTCCAATTTAGACTCTAGCTTCTTAGAAGCAACCACTTTTCTGACTGCTTTCATGAAGTCTTCCTGTACTACAAAATCATAGTATTCTATTGAAGAGGGTTTCTTTGAAATTGATATTATTCCATTTATCTGAAGAAAATAATTTATTTTTAGACGTTCCCATGGTGTAAAGTTTTTTAGCAGTTGCAGCATGGATGAATTTAAACGTATGATTTCACAGCCTGAATTTGAATGTCTTCACAATCAAATAGTTTCAGAAGTAGTTTACCAAGGAAGAAATTCACTTTGTGGCAATGGAATTTTGGAACCACCAGAACAATGTGATTGTGGTGGTACAGAGGTTAGTAACAAACATAATAACTTATCTAAAGATTTTTCTTTGTGTTTCTTGTGTAGCCTTATAAATATAGATGTGATATAAAACAGAAAGACTTTTTTTTCCCCCCCAAATGCTGCACCATTTATCAAATATCTAAGGGACATATTGGGCCATGTGATAATGGACTCATCCTGAATTTAAAGCATTTGAAGAGTTTAAGTAAAGGGTAAGTGTAGCATGGATTAAAGAGGTAGATTTTCTTCATTGTGTAACCATTAATAGCAATACCCACTTTTCTGTATTATAAACATGGTTAATGTCGATACTATTACCATTACCTCAGTCATCTCCTGAACTCCTCCAAAGTGACTGCATTGGTTCACTAAGTTATTACATGTGTATTGTTTACCTCCTCATCTCCTAATTTCCATTTTTGCAACTGTGGGATTTTTATTTATTTGAACTCAACTTCACAGAATTTGATTAATAATAGTCCTTGATGTGTTGTTGTTATATTTAGCTTTTTGTTATTACTTTTTTTTAAATTTGTGTTTAGTAAGATGGCTAATCATTGAATTTTGTTATAACTGCTTTCATATAATTATTAATAGTGATAATTTTGAGTATTTCATATTTGCTTGAGAAAATGTAAACTGTTAGGAATAAAATTCTATATAACTTGATTGCATTATAATTTTTAGGTTAGTGACTCAAATATTCTATATTTTTATTAGTTTTGTTTGCTTAAACTCTCAGTACTTAAGAAATAATATTGATACCTCCAACTATACAGTTGTATTTGCCTAATTCTCATTATAATTTACTCAGTTCATGCTTTGTATATTTTGAAGGTTTTTATATGGTGCAAACATATTTACAATTCTTATATCTTCCTAGAAATTTAACATTTACCTTTAAACACTGAATCTGTTTTTCTCTCATGTTGCTTTCTCTTTTAGCCTATCTGGTCTGGCATACATCTGTATCTGTGCACGCACTGGCTTTCTTTAATTCGTATTTCCCTAATATTTTTCTATTTACATTTAGCTTTTCTGTACTTTTACGTTCAATATTTTCATTGGGTTTTAATTTATTACTCATTCTGTGTTTGATTTATAAGATTATCCCGCAAACATTATGATTTTTTGCCTATTGTTTTAATTAATTAGAGTCCATAATTTATTCAGATTTCATTTGTTTTTACCTAATGGCATCTTTCTGTCCCAGGATCATCTCCAGGATACCTCATTACATTTACCTGTTATGACTTTTATTGTTGAGAGGGTGGAGAGGGATCGAGGTGGAGGGAGAGAGAGAATATTTATTTATTTATTTATTGTTATTATTTTAATTTTTAATTTATTCATTTGGGACAGAGAGATACAGAGAGATAGAGAGAGCAGGAGCAGTGGGGAGAGGCAGAGGAAGAGGGAGAAGCAGACTCCCTGCTGAGCAGGGAGCCCAACGTGAGGCTCCATCCCAGGACCTGGAGATCATGACCTGAGCCAAAGACAGTTGCTTAACCATCTGAGCCACCCAGGCTCCCGTATTTATTTTTTATTATTAACATATAATGTATTATATTTTTCAGAGGTACAGATCTGTGATTCAACAGTCTTACACAATTCACCAGCACTCACCATAGCACATACCTTCCCCAATGTCAATCACCCAGTCACCTATCCCTCCCACCCCCATCCACTCCAGCAGCCCTCAGTTTGTTTCCTGAGATTAAGAGTCTCTTTTGGTTTGTCTCCCAGGAGAGGGAGAGAATCTTAAGCAGGCTCCATGCCCATCTAGCAGAGCCCATCATCACAGGGCTGGATCTCACAACCTTGAGATCATGATCCCAGCCGAAACTGAGATGGACACTTAACCAACTGAGCCACCCCAGCACCCCTGGCTGTTACGACTTCTTATGGTCCTCTAGACTACATATTATTTATAAGTTTAGTTGTCTCAAAATTTTTATATTTCCTATGTTCACTTTGCTACATTTGTTTTTCTTTTTTTATTAACATATAACGTATTATTTGTTCCAGGGGTAGAGGTCCGTGATTCATCAGTCTTACACAATTCACAGCGCTCAACTGAATTTTTTCTTTTGATCTGTATGTTTTGTTTTTCTTTCTATTTTTGTCAGTGATTCAGTAGATACGTACTTTCAATCTCCCTTTAGTGATTATCCTTGCATTTTACCATATATACTTAAGGTTTAACCATATCTGGGCCACATTCCCCCAAAATAACAGGATTTACAACCCAATTAACTTACATGACATTTTTGTAAAATATTTAATTTCTGTCATCTTTATTCTTTACATTAGAAAGTACTCCAAAGATTTTATTCAGAAGATAGTTGCTTTATTTTACCTACCATTCCTTTTATTTATTAAGCGGTTATTTTTTGCATGTAAAAGTTTCCTTCTGAAATAATGACCTTTTGAATTATATTCTATTCCTTAAAATATACCTAAATATATACTTAAAATATACTTTATATATTCTCTTTATATATGTTCTCTTGATAGGACAGTTCACTGCCCACTTTTGTTTACCAAAAAAAAATATTTATGTCATATTCATCATTTCATTGTGATATATAATACACATGAAATATGAATGAAGAAGGTAACAAATAGATACTTAACAAGCACCTGAATAATTTACACTGAGGTCAAAACAAACCTTAGCTCTACCAAAGGAGCTCTTTGCATGTCTCTTCCCAATCACATGCCCCTTCCTTCCAATCATCATTTACAATTTAATGATGATCATTTCAGTGCTTTACTCTTCAAGATAGTTTACCTCTATTTTTTGCATCCTTATGCAATATACTTTGGTTGGCTGTTTTTTACCTTTATATTGCAATCATATGGTTTCTATCATTTGGTAACTTGGCCTTTCATTCAATATTATACTTGCAAAGCTCATCTATTTTTAATATAGCTATAATCCAAATGTTTTCATTGCTTTTAGTGTTAATTTTTTTTTATTCTTATGTTAATCCCCATACATTACATCATTAGTTTTAGATGAAGTGTTCCATGATTCATTGTTTGTGCATAACACCCAGTGCTCCATGCAGAATGTGCCCTCCTCAATACCCACCAACAGGCTAACCCATCCTCCCACCCCCCTCCCCTCTAGAACCTGTTTGTTTTTCAGAGTCCATCGTCTCTCATGGTTCGTCTACCCCTCTGATTTCCCCCGCTTCATTATTCCCCTCCCGCTACCTTCTTCTTCTTCTTCTTTTTTTTTTTAACATATATTGCATTATTTGTTTCAGAGGTACAGATCTGGGATTCAACAGTCTTGCACAATTCACAGCGCTTATCAGAGCACATACCCTCCCCAGTGTCTATGACCCAGTCACCCCATCCCTTCCATCCCACTCCCCACTCCAGCAACCCTCAGTTTGTTTCCTACAATTAAGAATTCCTCATATCAGTGAGATCATATGATACATGTCTTTCTCTGTTTGACTTATTTCACTCAACATAATACCCTCCAGTTCCATCCACGTCGTTGCAAATGGCAGGATCTCATTCCTTTTGATGGCTGCATAATATTCCATCATATATATATACCACCTCTTCTTTATCCATTCATCTGTCGATGGACATCTTGGCTCTTTCCACAGTTTGGCTATTGTGGATATTGCTGCTATAAACATCAGGGTGCATGTACCCATTCGGATCCCTATTTTTGTATCTTTGGGGTAAATACCCAGTAGTGCAATTGCTGGGTATAGGGTAGCTCTATTTTCAACTTTTTGAGGAACCTCCATACAGTTTTCCAGAGTGGCTGCACCAGCTTGCATTCCCACCAACAGTGTAGGAGGGTTCCCCTTTCTCTGCATCGCCACCAACATCTGTCCTTTCCTGACTTGTTAATTTTAGCCATTCTGACTGGTGTGAGGTGGTATCTCATTGAGGTTTTGATTTGGATTTCCCTGATGCTGAGCGATATTGAGCACTTTTTCATGTGTCTGTTGGCCATTTGGATGTCTTCTTCGGAAAAATGTCTGTTCGTGTCTTCTGCCCATTTCTTGATTGGATTCTTTGTTCTTTGGGTGTTGAGTTTGATGAGTTCTTTATAGATTTTGGATACTAGCCCTTTATCTGATATGTCATTTGCAAATATCTTCTCCCATTCTGTTGGTTGTCTTTTGGTTTTGTTGACTGTTTCCTTTGCTTTGCAAAAGCTTTTTATCTTGATGAAGTCCCAATAGTTCATTTTTGCCCTTGCTTCCCTTGCCTTTGGCAATGTTTCTAGGAAGAAGTTGCTGTGGCTGAGGTCGAAGAGGTTGCTGCCTGTGTTCTCCTTCAGGATTTTGATGGACTCCTGTCTCACATTGAGGTCTTTCAACCATTTGGAGTCTATTTTTGTGTGTGGTGTAAGGAAATGGTCCAGTTTCATTGTTCTGCATGTGGCTATCCAATTTTCCCAACACCATTTGTTGAAGAGACTGTCTTTGTTCCATTGAACATTCTTTCCTGCTTTGTCAAAGATGAGTTGACCATAGAGTTGAGGGTCCATTCCTGGGCTCTCTATTCTGTTCCATTGATCTATGTGTCTGTTTTTGTGCCAGTACCATGCTGTCTTGATGATGACAGCTTTGTAATAGAGCTGGAAGTCTGGAATTGTGATGCCACCGGCTTTGCTTTTCTTTTTCAACATTCCTCTGGCTATGCGGGGTCTTTTCTGGTTCCATACAAATTTTAGGATTATTTGTTCCATTTTTTTTAAAAAAGTGGATGATATTTTGAAGGGGATTGCATTGAATGTGTAGATTGCTCTAGGTAGCATTGACATCTTCACAATATTTGTTCTTCCAATCCATGAGCATGGAACATTTTTCCATTTCTTTGTGTCTTCCTCAATTTCTTTCATGAGTATTTTATAGTTTTCTGAGTAAAGATCCTTTGTCTCTTTGGTTAGATTTATTCCTAGGTATCTTACGGTATTGGGTACAATTGTAAATGGGATCGACTCCTTAATTTCTCTTTCTTCTGTCT